CTTCTTATTTTTTCTACTGTACTTTTTATTAGTAATCAAAGAAGTGCTTTACCTATTCCAATTTCCAGGATCATGCAAATGATGCTTTCATATCAGGAACCTTTTCTTTTGGTTCAAATTTTTACTTGCCTTTTCTTTCAAGTTATGTCTTTTTTTGAGGGGATGGGGGTAGAGCTTTAAATAGGGGGATTACCATATCAGGTTGTAAATTTTAAGTTGTGTTTTGTAGGATGATTTCCTATCTATATCTTGTATACAATTGTAATGTGGTTTATTATTTGTTGCCAAAGATCCTAGGGCAACTTGAATATTTGTGAGATGTGACAAGGGATAAACTGCATTCTGGTCTATTCGTAAAATGAAATTTTGTCTTCCTTCGTCCATTTAAGGTTTACTTCAATTGTTAGACCTGTTTTTTGGAAGAAGTTGTTGGTTATGCACTTTTTGAAGTCTCAAATCAAATGTGGTAAAACATTTGCACTTCTTTGCCAGTCTCTGCGAAACTTAATTTCTGCATGAATGAAATGAAAATATAACTAAAGATGAATATCTTATTTTGGACATTGAAATTACAGAATTGGTCAGGAAACACTAATGGAAGAGAATTTTGCTGATGATGATGTTGAAATTGAATTGGCACCTATAGCTGTTCAAATTGCATATGTACAACAGGTAAATTATTAACATGAGTTTGACTAGTCTTCTTTTCCTTCGATAAGTTGCAATTATACAAATTTCCTTTTCTCTCCTCCAGATTCTAGGGAACACCCAAGAGGCTGTTGCAGCTTATACTGATCTTGTCAAAAGAAATTTGGCTGACGATCCTTCACTTGTGGTGGCAGTAAATAATCTCATTGCTTTAAAGGGTCCTAAAGACATCTCTGATGGCCTAAGGAAACTTGATAAGCTAATAGAGAAAAGTGATGGACCTGAGAAGTTCCAGCTTGCTCGTGGACTGGACTTGAAGCTATCGCAGAAGCAAAGGGAAGCAATATACACCAATAGGGCGCTGCTTCTTCTTCATTCTAATAAGATGGATCAGGTATATTCTCTGAGATGTTGCATCTGTTCACGATGGTTCTCCTTTTATCATTTGATGCATTAAAAACAAGGTAACAGGGGATGGACACCTAACTGCTACTGTTTATTCTCACATTCTTTTTCGTATGTTTAATTTTGTCATGTGATTGTGACAGGCTAGAGAACTTGTTGGTGCTCTACCTGGGATATTCCCTGGTAGTTTGATGCCTGTACTTCTTCAAGCTGCTGTACATGTGAGAGAGAACAAGGCTGCTAAAGCTGAAGAAATACTTGGACAGTATGCAGATAAGTTTCCTGACAAGTCCAAGGTTATTATGCTTGCAAGGGCTCAGGTTGCTGCAGCTGCTGGCCACCCACAGATTGCAGCCGATTCCTTGGCGAATATACCCGACATTCAACACAAACCTGCAACTGTTGCTACCCTTGTTTCTCTCAAGGAAAGGGCTGGAGATATTGATGGTGCTGATGCTGTGTTTGACTCCGCAATCAGGTGGTGGTCAAATGCCATGACCGAAGACAATAAGCTCAATATCATCATGCAGGAGGCTGCTGCTTTCAAGCTCAGGCATGGAAGGAAGGAGGAGGCAGCACGGCTGTACGAGGAGCTAGTAAAAAGCCATGGAAGTATTGAGGCTTTAGTTGGATTGATCCAGACTGCTGCCCATGGAGATGTTGAGAAAGCAGAAGTCTACGAGAAGAAGCTAAAACCACTACCTGGTTTGAAAGCAATAGATGTGGACAGTTTGGAGAAGACTTCTGGTGCCAAGCATGCGGAGAAAGGTCCAGCAGTTGGTGTCACTGAAACATATGAAGCAAAGAACAAGGATAAGGCGAAGAAAAAGAGGAAGAGAAAGCCAAAATATCCAAAAGGATTTGACCCGGCCAATCCAGGACCTCCACCTGATCCAGAAAGGTGGCTTCCCAAGAGGGAGAGGTCTAGCTATAGACCAAAGAGAAAGGATAAGAGAGCAGCTCAAATTAGAGGTTCTCAGGGTGCAGTGGCTAAAGAGGCAGCGAGCAGTAGTGATACGAAATCAAACCAGCCAGCTAATCCAAAAGGAGCCTCTCAAAATGCAGGAACCGAGCAGCCTAAGGCTTCATCCAAATCAAGGAAGAAATCGAGGAAGTAATCGGGCCGATAACCAATGTTTTTTGTTATGCTTCTGTGGATTCTTTTAGCATTTCTGTTGTACAACATAAGTTAGTCTCGGCCTTGAAAATTTTACATGGAAGAGTTTAAGGTGTCCATTTATCTATTGTTAGCTTTTTATACTTTTTCATGCTTAAGATTGTAGGGGAAGCATTGATGTTTGCACTTCAATTTTCCTTAATTAAATTGTGAAAGGCCCCAGTTACTGGTTTCTGTAGGTCTGAACTATTAGCATTGTGGCATCAAGGCCCATTTTATCTTTTGAACACTTGACCCTTCTTTTTCCTTTTATATTTTAGGTATTTGACAGACTTCATTGATCATAGCTGTCTACACAATATATGGATTTGCTATTAATTTTACATACCTACTAATATAATCCGCGAGTCTTATAAACTTACTAATACGGTATCTATGCTTAAGTTCAACTGTATCGTAGGTGCTGCAAGGTCGGTGGTCGTCTTCACTTCTTGTTTATTACTCAAAAAAACTGGATTTTAGATGCTTTTAATTGTTTCTCCAAGTGATTACATACTGTGATACTCCCTGCTTGTTTCACTTATCATCAATACTGAGATTATTCATGTTGATTTCTTTCTCAATCGTTCAAGATTATTCTCGCTGAGCTCTATAGAGTTTTTAGCCAAAATTATCCCTAGAGTAACTTTAACTTTGTCCTCAAAATATAAATCCTCACTATGAGTGGATTTACTTTTTCCTTCAACTACCCTTTTAAACAACATTGAATTCCATAAGTTTCTTTAACAACATATAGAGTTGGCTGAAATAGTCCGTTGGAATATCGATTTTATAGCCTACAGCTCTAAAGTATAACCCTCGGCATCCAATATTCGATCATAAATTATGACCTTTTTATATTTGCGTAATGCATGAAAATTCAGCTCCTTCAAAAAGATCATTTTGATTTCAACATAAGTCACTTAAATAAGATCATTTTTAATATGTTATTTATATCATGCAAAATATTATACTAAACAATTGGGATACACATGCTCGCCTTTTTGAAGCTATTGCTCTTTTGGTATTTTGGGTTCGAGTCTTTGGTGTGAAGTCAACTTTATTAAATAAAATTTTATCCCTAAAGTGAAATTTTACCCCTAATACCGATATTAGACACTGTAACTTGTTTGGATGGTTGTTACCTATTGTGTTGTGTCGTATTGTTACTTTAAATATACTGTTTGTTTTGATTGTTACTTAAATTTTATTGTATCGTATCGTTAAATCTGTCCTTAAGTAACAACGAAAAGTGCCACTTTATGCAACGGCAAATTTGGTGTGGTGGCGTCGTTATCTTGCTTTTTTTCTCTCATAACCATTCCTTATTATTAAATAATCATATTTTATCCTTTACCCTATTCTTTTATACAATAATATTACTTCGTATCCTATATTTTCTTTGTAATATTGCAAGTTTATTTTTCATATTATTGGTGCATGACATCATGAAACGACGACAAACGATACAATTTATCCAAATATTGTAATCATCAAACAATACAATACAATACAATACTATACATTATGAAACGACATGTAACAACAATCCAAACAACTTTAAAGCGGAAACCAAATTTTTTTGGAGATTTTTACCTAGCTATACTATATTAGAACCTATTTACCTATGTTTTTTATGTTTTGCAGTTTTTAATAAGTATCTAGGTTTTTCTTATAACTTATATACATTGCTTCTTAAAAGGCTCTCACCCCATTATTAGTGCCTTCAATTAAGGGATTCAATTACATTCTTTCCTTTTTTTCCCTTCTCCTCTTCTCTCTCCTTAAAAAAAAAAAAATCAAAATCCCTTAATCTACGTCCTGAATCTCCATCTTCTTTCTTCATCATTGCCGACAACTTTATATTATTAAAAACTATTCAAAAATTGTATGATAATTGTATCATAATTGTAGTTGAATTGTATCAGATACATCAATGCCTAAAATATAAATATATCATACTTATATCATAATTATATCTAACTTGTATATGGTACATTAATACACAAAATAATACCTGATACAATACTAATAAATTAATATACAAATATCATATTTGTGATACAAATTGTGAAATTCGTCAGGAATTCACAACAGCTCGTAACAATATACAATTATCATACATTTGTAATACAATTCATGCAACAATTATGATACATATACAATTATAATACAATCGCGATACATTTTCTGAAAAATTATAATACAATTATGATCTTTATCTTCCTCAAGTTTCAATCACAACTCTACACTAAAAATTTAATATAATAGTATTATAATTGTATTAGTATTGTATCTACAACTTACCCACAACTTGATTGTAGAGCAAATTTACGAATTTCTTATGTATTGTATAAATAAGAAAGAGATTTTGGATGATTGAAAGAGAGAAATCGAATATCAAAATGTTTGGAAGAGGAAAGAATCTACAATTTTGGGGGATAACAGTGGATGATTGGAAGAGAGAAATCGGATATCAAAAGCTTTGGAAGAGGAGTGAGTAAGCGAGATTTTTAGGTTAGAAGGATTTCGGGTATCAGTAGGTAAGTGAGAATTTTTACGGTGGGCACGTACAAATTTGGGTAATTGTTAAAAGAAAGAGTGAAGATGTTTTTGTAATCCTTCGGAAAAGGAAGAGAATCTTAAATGTAGGGTATTATGTATAACTGATACGCTATATTTAAGGTATATTGCATTTCCTCTTTTTTATGATTTTGTATAAAACTAGTAAATATAAGTATATAAAGGAATTAACAAGCAACCTAAATAAATGGTTTCTAATAATGAGGCTAAAAATCCCTTCTTTTTTTTTCCCTAGCAAGAATTTGACAGGAGATAGGTGGATTCCAAAAGAAAATGGCTGAAGGTCAGTAGCACTAGACTCAACTCCATAAGCTAAGCAAAAGGTTAGGGTTACGGTGTCGACTACTCCAACAACAATGTTCGGAGGTCAGACTTCTTCCTCCGCCTTCGGCACTCCCTCTTCCACTCCAGCATTATTTGGTACTCCGTCCAATTCAACCCCAGCTTTCGGCACGCCGTCAACTTCCTCTTTCAGCACTGGCTTTGGATCCTCACTATTTTCAACACCATTCTCACAACAGCAACAACAACAAACTTCCTTATTTCAAACACCCCAGAGTTCGGCTTCTCCCTTCAGCTTTTCCACACCACCCGTTGCTTCATTTGGTCAACAACCTAATTTCGCTAATAATGCTCAATTAACTACTCAGATGGCTCCTGTTGCTCCCCTCCCTTTCTCTCTCGCTGATAGGGATTTACAGGTACTAATTTTATTTCTTTTTTTTTAATCTCAAATCATATTTGTTTTAGAAGTTTCTATTATAGGCGAGTATGCAAACATTTTGCCCATTCTTGCGGATACATTTCTTTCTTGTGTCACACAAGTGTTTCAATAATATAGAGCCGTGGTTTAATTTTAATCTATGTTGCTCTCACTCTCCGAAAATGCCACTGGGTGCGCGTCGGATCCTCCAAATGTAGTGTCTTTTTAGAGGATCCGATGTGCAGCAGCATTTTGGAAAGTCCGCGCAACATAGATTTTAATGCAAAATGGTTTATTTGAATCCCCTTGACATAATTGCTGATCTGTGTAAAAAGCTTTTAGTAGTTGAAGAAAGCCTTATATGGCTTCAAATGTTAAAGTGGTTGATGCTAAAGAGCATGTCATGGTTAAAACCATTAATGTTTGCAGAGACTACTACCAGGCACAAGAAAAAAAATATTATTGGAAGTTCCTAATTTAGACATAAAAAATAGGCAACTCTGGACCTTTTATTCAATAAAGAAGACCCGGGAATCGATAAATTGAAAAATAATAATTTATTCTCAGTTTACTTATTAAAAAAATGGATAAAATTGAAAGGATAGGGGAGTCACCACCAAGGAGCTGTCCCAAAGTGTGGTTGTCCAAGGATCGATTTCTTCTTAGAACCAATGCTCATTTCCTGTAGCATGTTTTTCATTTTAGTAGCAGGTTGCTTTCCATTTTATTCAATACTTATTCTCGGAGTTACTACTGCAACTTAAACTCAGTATGTTTGTTGTGTTGTGTATATTTGTTTCAGGCAATTGTTGATGCGTACAAGGAGGAGCTCGGGAACACTAAGTATGCTTTCAAGGTTTGATTTTTCTCTTTTCCTACTAGGCTAGCTTATCCTGGAGAGGTAAGGGAATTAAATGAAATTGTTAGATCACAGAGTAGTACATCGTCACTTGTGAAGTAGTCACTGAATCATTTATTTATCTCATTGGAGATGTTTGCTAGCATCGTGAAAATATTTATGAACTTAGAATTGGTTATTTTGATACGTCAGTTTTTTTTTTGTTTGATAAGATAATGGATTTCATATAAGGCATCAAGAAGATGCAAAATGTACAGTGCAGTAAAAACATTGTTAGCTCTATTACAAAAGGCCTAGTCTAAAGTTAAGGAGCTAACAAAGTCCAAAAGGATTCTGGGGAATTTACAGGGGAAAGGTTACTCCAGCTACATAAACTTGCTAAACATCTAGCCTTAAGAATGTAATTTGGAGTAGAAATTCCCTCAAAACATCTTGTGTTTCTCTCAGTTGTTAAATATACAGTCTTTTGTACCTGATAAAAGAAAAAACAATTACAGTCTTTTTAAATCATGACTGGAAGGCTTCCATCTTTTGGGTGTGTATAGTTGGTTATATTTTACTCTTGTCATTTATGTGTATTTATGGTGGTTTTGCAGCATCTTTTGTTCAGTGTAACGGAACCTCAATATAGGACAAAGCATGCTGGTGTATCTGATGTGAGTTCAATATGGTTAAAATTTTCATTTCAGTATAGGCATCCTGGTTTCTTTCCTTGTTTCTTGCTGGGAGTATTTGGTAAGTGCGATGAATTAGTTTGGATTGCTAGATTATGTGGGCAGAGGCAATGGGCAAACTTGAAGGCATGGAGAGTACTGATCGTGAGCGCTTGTGGCCTCAGCTTGTTCACGGCTTCAAGGATCTCTCCGAGCGGCTCAAGGTACTTTCAAATTAATCACTTAGGAGTGTGTTTGGTATTATAGAAAAAAGAAATTTGTGGGAAATGTCTTCCTTGAGGAGAATATTTCTAGTGTTTCATTACCTTGAAATCTGAAAAATGTTTTCCTCAAGAAAAATTATTTCAACCAAATTGGGAAAATGACTTCTTCCACCGCAAAAACCATTTTCTCTTATAAATATCCCAACTGTTATTTGATATCACTTTTTGAATCAACGCTTCGATATTGATATCAAGCATAATACACAAAAATGACAACAAAAAATATCGTCATACTATGCCACATACTTTTATACCCTACCAAATAGGAATATATTATTTTTATATAAGAATATGAACAACACTAAGATAGTGCATGGAGAGTTACAGATTGTGCAATTATACGATCATTTATATTGTGGAATAGATCATTTACAATGACCAGGTTGCACAAAAAAGCTAGCAAAAAATACATCTGTGCTTAAGGCTATGTATATTTCTCCATTTGCCTTCAAAATTCTATTGTTTCTCTCTGTCCAGATTGTCCACCAAATGACCAAAGGTATAGTGTTCCAAAGCTTCCATGCCTTCTTCTTTATTCTCACTTTGCTCCAGCTATGCAAATAGTCCAAAATAGAGTGGAGCATTGTCAAAGGTCATATTGTGAAGACATGCTCCATATCTAGCAAGAGATCTTGCAGTGCAATAAAAGGTGACAGACCTTCAGGGTTCTCTAGAAAAGGGAACATCTGCTACAGAGTTGCATTCCTCTTTTCTGGAGATTTGACGGAGTGAGACACGCTTCCTTGGCCACGAGCCATGCAAGACATGAGACCTTCAAAGGAGTCTTCTTATACCATATCTTCCTTCAAGGCCAGATATTCTTATTGCAAGTGATAGTTTGTAACAAGACCTAGCAGAAAAAATGCCAGTTGAGTGGCCCTTCCATTTAAAAGAGTCCCCCTTATGCTGATTTGAAACCGTAGTGCTAAGTAAACTTAAAAGGGAGCATGTTCGTTCGACTTCCCAGTCATTTAGGTTTCCCCTGAGAAAAGGTTCCAATTTTTATCTGAAAGAGTTCAGCAACAACATTTTTTTTTTTTTGGATCTGTATCAACAACTACAACATTGTGCTTAGAGGAGATGTTGTGAAACAACAACAACAATTACACGTCAGTCCCAAACAAGTTGGGGTCGGTTATATGAATCCTCACTTCTCCGTTTAAGTTCAATTCATGTAAAAGATCTTTTAGATGAGTATGTCCCAACCAAGCATCTTCCCAGAATCTAATATCTCTACCACAACCTGTAGACTCTGAAATGAGAAGCAGTTGAAGCTTTAATGCGCCAGGGAGTCCATCAGAGTGTATTTTATCAACTAAGATTCTCCAAGATCCATTGTCCTATTTGTTAAACCTCCAACTCCATTTCGTCAAGAGACTAACATTGTGATCCTTAAGTTCTTAATGGCAAGTGCACCACTTTTCTTGTCTCTCGTATCGTTATTCCACTTTACAGGGCAAAAAGCCTTGGACTGCTTGTTCCCTTGCCAAAGAAACTCCCTTCCCAATTTATACATAATTACTGTTACGCGGCGCCTTCCTGAAGTTCCTTGGAAGGGCGACGTAAGGCTAAGCAACCG